AAAAGATCATTTTATGTCTAAAGAAGCAATTATTAAAACTTTTATGAAAACATTCTCCTGGTTCCTAAATGAAGTATTTTAGAGCTTTCATGTCACTTTCCTTTTCTAGTGTACTACTAACAATACCTTTGTAGTGTTTTAAAATATGTTAATTGGAATTTAATAGACTTTGGATGAGTTATTATGGGTTTATAGAAATGATAATTTGGAAAGTTTCATGAAATCTAATGTGAAATACTACAGCTTTTATCTGGCAATTAATTATCTGAAAGATAGTATCAGCCACTTTTACTTTTTTAAAAATTGCTACAAAATTACTCAAAGAAAGGTACTTAATTTCTGAAGAATTCATTAACTGTAATACACCACTCATAATCTGAGGACACTAAAAAGCACTCACCTAAAGAAACTATGAAGTGCCAGTTTGGAAATATGCCAAAGGCACATTCATTTTACCACACCAAAAAGAAAGAAAGAAGAGAAAGAAGCTGAAGTGAATGATGAAAAATTTATGTAATTCAAGACTAGTGACAGCTATAAAACTCTGAATAAACTCAAAGCCACAGGCTGCTCACCCCTACAATGACAACACTGGGAGGGCTGGGGCGAGAGCATTGTGAGTTTGAGCTCAGTCTTGGCAACTTAGCAATATCCTGTCTCAAAAATTAAAAAAAAAAAAACGCTGATTTTAGGAGGATGAATTCTGTGTATTTTTTAAGGCCACACTGAGAGAAATGATGTTTACAAGGAGAAGAAAAAAAGAGTGGAATAAAATACCCCAGAGCCCCTCTTGGCAGGACAGAGGCCGCAGCCTGAAGAAATGAGAAAGGAGAAGGGAGAGAAAGAGACCAAAGCCATGGTCCAGAATAAGTCACAGAGGAACACGTGGCTTTTTAATACATTAGAATGGATGGGAGATGGGCAGGAAGAAACACAGCTGAACAATTATTTACCTTTTTGGTCCCATGGTGAACCACATCATTAGAGAAAACTGACAAAGTCTGATGTGAGAGCATGTGGTCCATCCATACCCTGGGCACCTGAATTCTTGCCTGAGCTTAGAGGAACTGGCAGCAGCTTAGTCAGGTGCCATCCTTCAACACTCACCAAGATGTACCTCAGGGTCACGGCCTTGGCTGTCACAGCTGGGGCTCTGAAACTCCCTACTAGGAACTCTGCATTGGTTTATTGCTCTCTCTCCCTCAAGACTGATTCCCACAAGAGGACAGGGACTTCATCATTATTTGTTTGCTTGTTTTGGTACCAGGGGTGGAACTCAGGTCCTTGAGCTCAAGAGGAAGGCACAGCACCGCTGAGCTAATGTTCATCATGTGCTCAATAAAAATACACTGAAGGGGCCAGGGATTTAGCTCAGTGGTTCCACCGCCTGCCTTGCAATCACAGGGACTCGAGTTTGATTCCCGGTACCAAAAAAAAAAAAAACTGATGGATGAGTTAATAATGTATCAATAAATGATTATCAAAATATTATTGAGGGTATTAATAACTACATCACATAAATGCCCTGTGTCAAGAACCATATGAGAAATTTTGGAATTCGAAGGTAGGAAATAATTTCACTTCTCCTAAGCAATGGGTCTAATTCTCCTTAAATCATCAGAATTTTGAAACAAGTTCAACTCTTATTTTTTTATCTTAGCTTACAGAAAAGACAGAGAAAAATCAAAGCTCATCTGTAGCAGCTGAATTAGCTCACATGAGCTGTATGTTCTTTTCAGAGGTGTTGATTTGCCTTGGATGGTTTCTCTGATGATTTTCCAAACTCTTTGGCTACTTCAATGTTCTGGTGTGTGGTTCATTTCTGACATTTTATAGGATGAGCTGGGGAGTCCCTTTGTTGAAGTGATTTGAGGACACAATGCCTACCCATAACAAAGGACCTCTGGTAACTGGGCCTACACTGATTGCCCAGCTCTTTTCTTAGGATGGGTTGAAAAGTACAAAAGTAGGCAGTACAAATTCAGTAGCTCCATGCTACTCCATGGAGAACCTCAGTGAAACAAATCAGCAATAGCCAAGTGGGGTGGTAGTTGTGATGGAGGGAGATTTTACACATGGGTTGTAGAGAGGAGACAACTTACAGTGTGACTTCCAGTCACTTCCTTTCAACCAGAATTCTCTGAACAAAGGGAACCTGGGTCATGCAGCCCCACTTGGGAGACATCCCCAGCAGAGTCCATGAGCAGAAGCAAGGCAGGCCCTGGCCTGACAACTCTCCCTGGCCCAGGTTTGCAGGATGCATCCTGTGCACACGCCAATATCTTGCATGTTTTGTGAATTGCAAAACATGTTTTCCAATGGGAAGATGTTGTGGATATGGTGACAAGAAAGTAAATCATGGGACAATAGAAATTGTGCTTGAATCCTGGCAATCTCTTTGACAGGTGCACAGTTTTACATAAATCACTTAATCTCTCTGAGTCCCAGTTTTCTCACTGGTACAATGGGACAATACTCTGCATATCAGTTTTGGAGGCATTTCAAAGTCAAGGATAGCTGCTGCTCTTCCCTGATTGCACCTGGACTGTGGTACATAAGAAGGCCAAATGGTAGACTACTCCTCTTACTGATAGAAACACCCAGAGTACCCAGAGCAGAGGGGTATCATGCACTATTGATTTTTTTTTTTTTGAGACTGGGTCTCTCTGTATAGTTGAGATTGACCTGGAACTCACTAGGTAGCCCAGACTGGTCTCTAACTCACAACAATCCTCCTGCCTCAGCCTCCCGAGTGCTGGGATTACAGGTGCGAGCCACCACGCCCGGCCATGCACTATTGATTTAAAGGCTACATTGCTCTAGAGCAAGGCATTTCTTGGTTCAGGGTTTCTCCAGGGGCTGGGGTCACAGACCTTTGGGTCCCCTAGTGCTTCATGTCTTAGACATCATTAGAGTTTCAATGAGGTCTGTTAAAATGCCTTGCTCCAGAGCATGAAAAAGTGCAAGTCTTGATTCTATAGAGGCTTATGAAATTAAATGGATGTGTTATGGCCAACATTTAAAAATAAAATAGCACAGAATGCTTTGGAAAATATCAGAGTACCAAGCAAGGAACAGAAATAAATCTATTGTACGAAACTTTTGGTTATATGTCAGGGTAAACTGGGTCAATTTACAAAATTTATTTCTTTCTATGGTTGGTCTTAATCAAAATTATCTTACTCTGAAAGAGGAAGAGACAAGGAAACTTAGGTTCTGTGACCTGGCAAGGGACTACATTTGGAGAGGGAAGGAGGGGCTGCCATGAGGCCCTGGAGCTCCAGAGAACATGGCAACTCTATAGGAAACACTGTTGTCCCGTGTCTATGGAATCAAAGACCTCAGACCTTCAAAGTTTACAAAGCACCTGCAAATGACCAATGGGGTCTATTGCTATGTTCCAGGGTTTGAAAAATTAAAAAGATACTCTTTCTACATCAGGTTTACCAGGTTCACTGCAACACTACCTCACATGTCCCTAACACATTTTAACAAACTGCACCAGGGTGTGACAACAGAGCTGACTTCGCACAAAGGCCAGAAAAGAGAAAATGAGGTAATTCTACAGAGGAAGTACCCATTTCCTAGGGATTCTGTTTAAAAAAGTTCTACACACTGGGTGGCTTAAAGCAAAACAGTTCTGGAGGCCAGAAGTCATGGTTTAGGGAGGGTCAGCCCTGGGACACAAAAGTAGGAGTCTTCCCCATAGGCCCCAGAACTGACATACTTTTGCAGTGAGAATAATTATTTAAACTGCTCCCGCCTGGTATTAAATGCAGACAGTTGAAACCAATTGGGTTAAGCCAAGCCCTCGAGATTTGATAGCAGTCCAATCAGTCATTCAACATTAATAGGATTTATACAGCCCGCAGGACACTGAGTGAGGAAGTAGGAATCAGGCCTGCTCTGAACACCTTCCATTTAGCCATCAGGAAAGTGGTGAATGGAAATAAATGACAAAGGAGACTTAAACCACAGGCATTAGGAATAAAGCCAATTTGAGGAAATGAAGGAAAGAACAACTGAGTGGATGGGGGGTGGGGGCAACTGGAATCAAGTGGCCAGTAGGCAGAGACAGAGTCACTGAGCTCCAGTTCACCTTTCTGTGACACAGGAGTTCCTCTCCACCTTCGGCACTGATTGCTCAAAACAATAATATTTACAAAACTATGATAGTATAAACCATAACGGAAATGCAGGTGATTGCCTTTACTAATTAAATGTTTGTGCCTGGCTGACAGCCCCAGTACCCAGTAAAGCCATCTGCAATCTCCTCAAGCCACAAACTGAGCTGCCAGAACACCTCGGCTGAAGGCACTGCTGGAGGAAACCCTCCAGATGTCCAGCCGGGAACTAAGCACAGAAGTATTTGAAATCACCTACCACGTGCAAGGATTTCCCCTTTTCTCCTTCCTCCCCTTCCCCCTCCCTCTCTTCCTCTTCTCCTTCTCCTTCTCCTTCTCCTTCTCCTTCTCCTTCTCCTTCTCCTTCTTTCTTCTTCTTTGCAGTGCTGGGGTTTCAACCCAGAGGCTTGCACATAGGCAAGTGTTCTCCCCCTGAAGTATACTCCTAGGCCCCAGATTTCCTTTCCACTGGGATTTTTGTTTGTGACCATTATAATTTTTGAAGAAGCAATCATATGTTGAGAAATCAGTTGCCACCATCCACATGCCATGCAGGCATTATCTCATCTATAAAGTCAGAGAGTAAAATGATGCACACTCAATAGTGCTCACCACCAAAGCTTATGCCCTTCCCACCAGGCTCCTTGGTAGACACCACTAAGGGCTCCTCCTCAGGTCCTTCGGTGTTAAAAACTAAGAATGGGATCAGCTGATTCCACCGGAGACAGCCATGGAAAGTCTGGGAGGACTACTGACCCCCTCGCTGGGAGTCTGTCAAATTCATTAACCCTGCACAGATGGCAAGAGGGTTTCAGACGGGGGTCCCCAGCGCTGAGAAGAACCCCCATCTAAATTGTTCTGCTCAGCTGAACTTACCTTTATTTCTTTGGGGATGGACTGGCCACAGGGCTTTTTCCCTCCCTTGGAGGATTTGGAGGAGGTTGAAGAGATGCCCTGTGAGGCACGGTGCGGCTTGAGGTCGCCCAGGCTGCTGAGGTATTTTCTGCGCAGGGCCAGCAGCTCCTGGAGGTACTGCAGGCAGTCCTGGGTGCGCGAGTACATCCACGCACGGTCCTCTTCCTGCTGCAGGTAGTACAGGCTGGTGTCCATGCTGCTTGCGCTGTTGTATTTCTTTAATGACTCACTGAATTTCTCGCCGTGGTCCCCGACCACGTACATGGAGCTGCTACGGATCAGCCTCACTCCTGAGCCGGCTCCAGTGTAGTAGGGGCTCTCTGCCACCCCCTTCTTCTGCGGGCTGGAGCTAAAGATGGAGTGGATCTTTCTGAACATGGTGCTCGGTTTCTCTCCGTGGGTATCTTCCAGCTGCCTTCGCTGCTGCCACTTGATCTAGCTGGGGGTAGAGGAGCCGACATCCAGGGCCAGAGCCATCTGCCTTTCAGGAGGCTCCGATCTCTGGAATAGCAGAGAGAGACGCTTGGGTCAGGCAGGCTGGCTGCGCGTCACTCATGGGGGGAACTCACATCCAATAACCAGGAGGCTACGTAGTCTGTCTGAAGACGGAGAGTAGAGCGCTGTGAGCTCAAAAGCAAGGGAAGTGGCTGCCTTGCAACCCATTTGGTGCAAACACTTCCTGTGTTCTTCCATGAAGGAGTCAGCTGAATGGGGAAAATGTGACAATGCTTTACCTGCTCAGTTATTTCTTTTCCTTTTCCTTTTCTGTCTCTGGGCATGGTCTTCTTCAGTTTGACTTGCTTTTGGTGTGAAGCATTATTTTTCAATGTTGGCTGAGCTGGCCCTGGTGCTGAATTCTCTGGGTGTAAAACGCAATCTTGCTTAGCGGAGATGCCCGTCAGCCAAAAATCGCACGTTGCTCAGGGTAAAATCCAGTCCCCCGAAGTGGGCCAAGGCAGATACATCTGGGGCCCTTGGCAGAGGCTTGTAGATGCCCTGATAAGCTGGGCTACGAGCAGGCATCCGAGCGTTCTGGAGGAGGCTCGCACTGCAATAAGGGGACCTCCTAGCAGTCACCGGATAGCAACCCTTTGTGAAGCCTGGAGGATTCAGGTATCCAGACCACGACTTTTTGCACAAAAGTGTCAGTGAGCAAAGGGTGTCTACATATGTTCAGCAGACTCTTTCTTTAGCCTAAGCACATTTCAATCTAGGCCAATTGCAATCATAGACTATTTTGTCAAGAGCATTGTGTGAGGACATTTGTCTCCCAAGAATGTTTCCCCTCTGGATTGGCTCAGGCAGATGCTAAACATCGTCATTGTACTCATTTCTCTATACAATCTGTTTCTCTAGGACCAGCATTTTCTTAAGCTAGCATGGATGTTAGAGGAGGTAGTAAATCCCAGAAATTGTATATAGAAGTGTCATTGGATGAATAGATGGAAGGAAGTATTGGTACAGTTTCCTTTTTTGCTATTTTCTGGGCTTTATTTTATTTTACTTTTTGAAAGAAATATTGTTCATGGTTTTATCAGATACAAAGGAAAACATTTAAAAATATATCCTTCCCTAAAGCAATACCCATGTCTTTTATGTACATATATAATATAAAATAATATTATAAATGCATTCATATGAAGGGTATCCACTGTGTGTGGCATTCTGCTACGCATTGCTGGGACACAGCTCCTCATACATAAAAGCATTTAAGCCTTACATTTGCAGAGAGCTTTTGAGCTGATGAAGCATTTCCATATCTTAATTTATTTAATATTTGCAGCCTCCTTGGGAGACAGCTGTCTTTGGTAGTCAACAATTCAGAGATGAAGAGGTAACCTGGTGAGGTTATGAGACTTGTGTAAGTCTAAATATTCTGGTTTCAAGCCCAATATAACCCTATTGCTGCAGCTGCAAAAATCACCTATATCAAGGTCTTCTAAGAGATCTCAGTCTGGTCCATTTCCCTCGTTTCACTTGAGCACAATATCAAAGCACCAGAGAGGACAGGCACTGGAGAAATTTTTTCTCAGAGGTGTCCAGAGACTGTGACAGCCTAGTCATTCTCAGAAAATCATGCTTATAGGTTTATGATTATATTTATCCTACATGGATTGAGAAAAGGTATAAATGGATAAACACTGAATCTGCTTTCACATCCAGAATGTCATGCATGACCTAACCTATCCATCACAAATTGAATAAAATAACCTTCCTCTGTATTTACCTTCCTTCTCTCTGTTCTTGCTTCCTTGCTGGATACTTCCCAAAGGCCAGACTTGTGAAGAGCATGGAGAGAAAATTATATGACATCAGCTTGCAAAGCCTTCTTGGCATACTACTGGACAGGACATTTAGCAGCTGTCAGGATCCAACTAGCTGACTCTCATCACCTGCTGTGCCAAGCCAGCCCCAAAGCTGTCCTCTCCTGGAGCTACTACAGAAGTGGTCAAGGGGAGAGTATGCTATCTTCCTACACAAACACTTGTCATCACTACAGGATAAAGGAAATTCATACAGCGTGGTGGCTGCCTCTGTTGAGCTTAGATTTTTCTCATGGCCTCAGCTATAAGAAGAATATGAATTCACCTTGAAGTTTCACCAAGTATTTTGAAGACACTAAAAATGCCCTTCAATCTCCAATCAGGCACCCCAGGCTTGATTCTTTCTTGGCATCGTGCAGGACTCTGGAGGAGCACCTGAGCAGAGATGGCGAAGAGGCTGGTCCTCTCCCCAGCTCGGCCCCAGCACACCAGCCTAGTTATGGGTTCTGTTCCTGGCAGAGCACACGGCAGATTTGCTCTCCCTTGCAGATGTATCTGAGATCTCTGGTTTTTGACCAGAGAATCCATGTAAAGCGAATCAAGACTAACCTTACTTTATTCCAGAATTTCTCAAAATTGAAGGGCAAAATCACAGGGCAGTGGCAGAGTTGTTGAGAGGATTTTCTCAGTAGCAAAGTCAGGCAGAGGTGACCCTAGCCAGCAGATGTAGAAGAGGATGGCTGAACACCTGCCTCGCCAATGTAGCCTAGTCTTGTAGTGATGCTAATGCCTGATGGGCAGAGCAGGGTGGCAGCAAGAATGCAAGCTTGTGCCTCACTGGATTCAGTTTGATTCTCAGTTTGGCTGCCAACCAGCTTAAGAAAATCATTTCAACTCTCACTTTGGATCCTTCATCTGCAAAAATAGATACCTGCTATTGAACGGGGTTGCCATACTGATTACATGAAATCATATAAAGGGAGTTTTAGCATATGTCATAGTTGTTCAAGTTATATATTATGAGTGCTCAAGTCGAATATCCTCTCACTTACATCTCCCCATTTCCTCCCACCCTTCTCATTCTTCCTCTGGCAACCATGGTTTTGTTCTCTACTTTGTTCTGTGTATTCAACTTTTTCTGTGTAGATTCAATACACACACACACACACACACACACACACACACGGCATCACACAGAATTTTTTTCTTTCTCTCATTACCAAGAAGTCTCCAGGTCCATCCATGTTGTGGCAAATGAAAGGGGTTTCTTTTCATTTGTCCAGTGCAGGGATTCCAACCTGTAGTGCTCTACCACTGAACTACAAACTCAGTCCTTTTTGTTCTGAGACAGCCTCACCAAATTGCCCAGGCTGGCTTTGATCTTCTTGCTTCAGCCTCTCGGGTCGCTGGGATTACAGGTATATACCATTTACCTGGCAGGATCTCCTTTCTTAAGCCTGAATAATATTCTACTGCATACATACACCAGTGTTTCTTTATCTGTCTGTTGGTCAGTGGACACTTTGGTGGTTCCATTTCTTGACTCTTGTGAAGAATGCTGCAAGGCACAGATATATAGGATAAATAAGTCTAGAAATCTAATGTACCACATGAGGACTAAGTTAACAATACTGGGTCATATGGGGGGTGCCAAAAGAATAGGTTTTAGGTTCTTTTGCCCCTAAAAAGACAAGTAACTATATGAGATGATGAACATTTCAGAAATGTATATCAAAACACTATGCTGTGTCTTAAAATATACAATAAAAATTAAAATGAGGTAATATGGAGCTCACTTAACTTACATTTTCTCAATCAAAAATACTTTATAATAATATAAAAATATTACTACCATTACTTTTGTTTTGTACCTCCCACCATAGAGCTCCCAAACTATTACCCCAGGCACAAACCTTGGATGTGGTCATAATTCAAGAGACCGCTCATTCTTCGGTATCTGTGAAGATCCGCTGGCCCAAATGGGCCAGCCTGAGTAACCACACCCTGGATATTGCAGTAGGTGCCCACTGAGGTGCTAGTTGGTCATGCTGTCAGGAACGGCCCACTTGCTGGCAGGGCACCTGTCCAGGGACCCCATGACTTCCTGGCACAGATTCAGCTGAACACCTCATCATGTCTCCTACCATCAGGTGTATCACTTGCTGTTGTGGTATAGCCTGGAACAATCACACAGTGGTACACACCACTCAAGGCCGAGGTTGCTTATATCCCACCACCATGCAATTGCACTTCCCATAAAGGGTCCTAACTCAAAGAAACCAGTTGATACCTTCATGCTCTAATTGCATGTCTAGAAATCACCCTGGCTGCACCCTGACAGAAAAGTGATTTTGAATCAGCTCAGCACTTCCTAGAAGGTGGATGAAATGTCAGGGGAGAGAGGAATGAAGGAAGAATGTGGAGGAAAAAAAGGGAAGCTGAGAAAAGGAAGAGATCAAATAATTGTGTTGAATATTTAATGAAGGGTAAGATTACAAAGTTCGACAACATGTATCCTGTGTTACACTGGTCCATTTATTTGCACAGTGTATTGGAACATTTCTCTTTCCAGTTGTGATGTGAATGGTAAGGAAAAGAAAGTTCCCTGGAGACCAGCTCCCCTGTGCTTTGGATCACTGAATATGTAAAGTGAATATGGATCTTTTTCTGATGGTGCACAGCCTGGTTCCCATTCAGGGGCAGAGCAGCTCCAAGCTTCCCCAAGCTTGAAGCTCCATTTACAAAGACCAAAAGCAAGGTATTATAGATGGCTTTGCCATTCTGCTTAATTTAACAAACTTGTCCACAACCCACACAACCACATACATACAGTCACTCTAACTGCTTATAAACTTAGAACAGAACATAATGTGGCAAATGAAATTGTGAGAAAATTCCACTCAAAATGTAAGTAGGAGCTCTATAAATTTCAGGAAAGCCTAGTGCTAGCCAGGTTTCTTAGTACATGCCTATAATCCCAGGGCTCTGGGAGGCTGAGGCAAGAAGATTGCGAGTTTGAGCCCAGCCTGGGCAACTTAGTGAGTTAGCAAGAACCTATTTCAAGGAGTGTTCCTTAGTGCAAATCCCCTGTGTTTAATCCCTAGTACCCCACAGGGGAAAAAAAGGAAAAGGGAGGAAGGGAGGGAAAAAGAAAGCCTAGTGCTTCATTTATTATTACTATGTGCACACATTCCAAGACTTACTGATTTAAAACAACTATCATGACATCATTCACACATTTGCAATATAGACTGTTGCATTTCTGCAGGGCGTGCTGGTGGCACTCCTATCACTGCATTCTGTGGTGGTCTGGCTGGGACTAGGCTCAGCCAGGGTGCTGGTATGCTGGGCTCTTCCTCCCCTGTCTCTCCAGCACAGTGGCTGGCGCTCTCGCATGGCTGCTCAGGGATTCCAACAGCACAAAGGCAGAATCACCAAGCACTTCGAGCTGAAGTGGGAAATACCACCATGTGCCTCCTGCCACATTCTATTGATTAAGTCAAAGCACATGACCAGCTCAGATAAGAGGAGAAGGCTGGAAAGGGGGTGAGCCCCAGAAGGCACAGCCCAGGGGGGCCACTAGGGTAACAGACTGCACTCTGTGGGAGCTAAGGTGACCATCCACATGTGATGAGGGCCCAGGTCCTCATTTGAGGGTGTCCAGTACACAGAATTTTTTAGGAATAATTTCTAAATCATTTATATTTGACTTGAAGTACAGGATATACCCCAGCTCATTTATTTTTCTAAGTTCATTTGGCTAAGACTGATGGTAAAACAGGGCTGGGAATTTAGCTCAGTGGTTTCTACTGCCTACCTTGCAAGCACAAGGACATGAGTTCGATCCCCAGTACAAAAAAAAAAAAAAAATTGACGCTAAAACAGATTACATTACCCAAAATCACATTTCATAAATCATTGTTGGAATAAGTGTCATTTTCCTAAAATATAAAAAAGATGGATAAGTAGAATTATATAATATTTGGAAAGACAACTTTAGAGACTCAATCTTATTCTTAACTACTTTCACAGTAGCATGCTGCAGCATTTTATCAGAGCTTTCGGGAAAAAGACATATTCTTCTTATGAATACCACGTGTGTTTCTTTATCAAACATTCACATAATAACCAACAGAAATATCAATAGAAAGCTTAGTGTGATGTTCCAATCTCCAGGTGCAAGATAAGCCTCACAGTGCTTTTGGGGTTGGATGAGAAAAAATATTTACCTGTCCTTTTTTATTTTTCTTTATCTGCATCTTCATCTCTATCTCTCTCCCTCTCTCCACAGACCTTCCCTTCCCTCCCATTTAATCCCTCTTGCCTCCTATTGGAGGGTTTTATATTACAGAATCCATTTGGCTTCCATAACAGAGATAAGAATGCGCATTGCTTTTCTCTCTGTTATAACAATGTAGAGAATAATGATCAGGGTAGATGCCCCTGTGCCATGTGAGCACCCAGGGGTCGGGGCTCCATCCAGCTCATTGCTCTCTCCTTCCTGAGGCCATTGCTCTTGCCTTCACGGTCAAAGGTGGCTCAAAACAAAGTATCCTTACTCCATCAGCAGGAAAATGGGAGATAAATGAGTTTGCATGCTCCCTTCACTCTTACCTGGCACAGCAACCCACAGCTGTGCTGGAAACAGGAATACAATCTTCCCTGTGGCACATTTGTGTCAGCTCCAACTTCTGTTTATAGTATCTGGGGTCCAGGGGGTATCTAGCAATCCCTAGCAGGTGGCTTGGTTCCATTTGTAGTACTAGAAAGGAGGAAGAAGACATTTTCTTCTCCAGGACCTGGAGTAGAGAAACAGAGGGGGGAAACCATGCTAGAGGCCCTCACAAGAAGATCAACAGTATTTCTAACTTTTCCCTTCCCAGGCAAGGACCAGGTCTCTAGCTGCCTCCTCTGCTACAAAAACCAGGAGAGAGCTGACAGGTCTCCCACCTCATGCATCCTCAAGGGCCAGAACCTCCTCACATGATAGGACAGTGATTGCTACCAGGGCTCCAGAGGGCCAGAGCAACAGAGGTCAGGCATGCCAATGAGCACTGGCATACTAGGGTTTACCACAGCAGCCTCACCTATGTGTTTGCATTGATTAAAAGTGGTGTCTTCTTTGGGCAGAAGCCATAACCCAGAAAATGTTTAGATAAAACTTCCCTGCAAATAGGATGATCATACATCCAGTTCAGCTATTACTTATCTGTGGCTTCATTATGAACAGCATCCAAAATAAAGGGTCATGAAGCTACAGAAAAACCACAGCAGAGCCCAGGTTGCCAGACCCATGGCCAACATGGCTTTTGAGTCTATGCCCAAGAGTGTCCCATGTCCCACAACTTCAAACACAGCAAGGCATGGAGCCTGGCATTGTGTAGGGAGTTGTTTCAGCCAATAGCACCCAGATGATGTAGGAAAGGATTGTTGGATAGGAATTAAGTACTTTCACTAAACTTGATGAATTATTCAATTCACAGGTGAGATCAACAGGTGCTAAGTGCTCAAAAAGAGTTGGACGAATGGCCCCCTGCCCCACAAAGCCAGAAAAGCCATGAGTCGTTTCTGCCGCCATGATATATAGGGTAGGAGGGGAGACATCTAAGAGGCAGAAGCAGACCAAATATCCAACAGTCAATAAACAGGTAAACAAAATGTGCAATGGAGTAGTATTCCACCTCAAAAGGGAAGAAAATTCTGGCATATGCCACAACTTAGGTGAACCTTGAAGAGATTAGGCTGAGTGAAATAAACCAGACACAAAAGGAAAAACACTGTGTGATGCTACTAGTATTCTCTAGGTACCTAGAGAAATGAAATTCCTAGAAAAAGAGAACACAATGTTGCTTGCCAGGGGCTGAGAGGAAGGGATGGGAAGTTGGTGTCTAACAGGTGCAGAGTCTCAGTTTGAGAAGACGAAGAGTCCCGGAGATGGGCAGTAGGGATGATTCTACAACACTGTGAATGTTGGAATGCCACTGAAGTGCACACTGAAAAGTAAAGTGGTAAATATATGTTTGCATATTTTACCACAAGAAAAACAGCATAGATTCTCAAAACTGTCCAGAACAAGTCCTGACCTGGAGATTGGGGAATCTAGGAATATTTTTCTAAGAAACAACCCAAAGAATTATCACCATCAGGGAAGTTTAGCCAACACTGATGTTTCATAAAGAGCAAACAGATATATAAGATTTCCAAGTCCACGCTGATTTATTGATGCTCATTAATATTAGGTATTATTTATTACTAATATAAATCTTTCATCTGTAGAGATTCCATGAGAGAATTGCAATAGTGATCATGGTCAACATAGTACAGACCATGTATGCTGGGCTTTCCTGTGTCGGCTCATTTAATTTAAACCTACAGCTATATCTGTTGGATATGATCATTATCCCCACATAGAGATGGGAACATTTAGGAACAGACAGTGCAAGTCCTGCACCTGGGATCCCATATGAACCACACATAAACCCAGAACTGTTCTATGAGAAACTGGAATGCATGCCACATTATAAGTAGCTCCACTGGGGCAGGAATTTTTGTCTCTTGCTCACTGTCTTTCTAGTTACATAGTAGGAACTTAATAGATGTGTGTTGAAAGAATGATTCAACCTTTCTGAGGTCATCAAAAATGGTTATCTGAATATCTGTCAGGGTAGAGAGGCATGCAGGTTGTTTCCACTGCCCCCGGCCACTTTCATTTGTCTTGGATTTCAGAGGTCCTGAAAAGACACCAGCTTAGAGTTCAAAGATGTGGGCTCTAGTTTCAGGTCTGTCCATTACTTGTGTAGGACCTTAGGAAAGCTTTCTATGAAATGAAAACATGAAATAGGTATTGTAACAAACCTTACCATATGCTGCCATTTTGGTAGAGAGTTTTAAGAATTCTCATGCTCATGAGTTGCAGTGGTTGGTAGCTGAGCTCAGGAGTGAGAGCAAGACGAGGGGCCGCCCAGCCTCCTTGCCAAGGGCCCAGGGCTGTACTGAGGAACTGGGCGAAGCACACAGCCAGGCCGCTCCCAAACCCAAAGACCTCGGGTTCACAGTGGAAAGTGCAGGACAATAACCAGTTTTATCCGCTTCTATAGATGGAAGAAAAGTAAATCGAAATAAGACAAAATTTATTATTTGTTGGACAAGACTTTGAGAAAAATAATCTCATATTGTGGGGTGGGAAATGTTGAGCAGAAAAAGTAATTCTAATATGCTGTGAGTGAGAGAATACATTGGAATAACTCATGAGTGTGTTTTGGAAACACAAAGATCCTTAAAATTATGCACTCACTTTGACTCAGCTACTCCGCTTCAAGGTTTTCTTCAGAAAGTCATGGTGGCCACAGCAGACATAAAGTTCATGGTGGTTTTCAAGTATCTTGGCAAGCATCAAGTTTGGAGTGTGATTTTCCAGAGTTTCTTGAGAACTGTAGCAGTCTAATACCAAATGTTAGTGAATCACCCACTTAAGTGTTCAGTCTGACATTCTGTTTCCACAACATCCCTACCACTTTACCACCCTAGATCTGTCCCACCAGGTAAATTTAATTCCTATAGTCTTTTGTCCCTATAATATGCAAAGTGACTTTAATACAGTATCTTCCTCATTTTTTCCATGAGTTCTAATATCTTCTATGCAACACATAAGCAAACCTATCTTTACTCTGTAGGAAAATCCTCTACATGGGATTTGATATCCTTTTTTCCGCATAAACTTTGGCTGGGAAAGGAGCCTGAAGCCTGTTTCAGAATTCTGAGGGCAACTGGTAGCATCTTGTTTTATCTCTTCATCCAACAGCTTGTGTCCTGGGCAAAGGTGCTAGTCTTATTTTTGACAAGTAAATTAGAAACAGGTTTAGCCAAAAGCTGAAAATCTTTCTGCAAGAAGATCGTCAAACATGCCAGGGACCTGTATATCCTGCCCTGTAATTGCATTACCTCCACACTAAATTCTCAGCTCTCTGGCTTGTCCCTTCCTGAAAAACTTGCTATTTCCTTCTTGAAATGAATCAGAGAGAAACTGCTACTGCTACTGCACATTGAATATTGATGCCTGGTTGAAGCTAGGTTTCTGGGGCCTGGATTGCACTTGTCAAGAATATATATTTCATTTCTAAACCCTTTAACTCGGAGTGGAAAGTGGCTGGCTATTTCAATGCTTGTAACTGAAAGAGCTGATGGAGAGCAGCCTCACATCTTGTTAACAGTGCTGGGTGGATTAAGTGATTACTGGAAACGAATATTGAAATCTTTCAAGACTCAGCAGGATTCCTGGTGCTTATACAGAATTACTCCTTGCCAGCATCGAGCTCCGCCCCTAGCTCCGAGGAATCAACAGCATCTTCAACCCCAAGACTCATCCTCTTAATCTATCAACAGATATTTACTGGAGGCTACCTGGTGTTCATCTCTGGAGTGTTTCATCTAGCCATTCCTCTTCTGTCTCCTCATTGTTTTCTCTTCATCTCTTCACTGTTAAATAGAATTGTAATGTGATAACTCACTCAGCTCTTACCCTGGTGGTTCCTTCATGTGGCCAAAAGTGCATTTTTTCTAACTTCCTCCAGAGGCAGCACGTCCACACAGGCAGCTCCAGCTTGGGTCTGCACGGTAGCAAAAGACAATCTATACCACTGCATTAAAAGGTGAGTGTGCACTGGGGAGAGAGGAAACCGGTGAGTTATTACTGATGAATTACCTGAATTATTGAGGGTGTCCAAATTTCATGTCTGTCCTTGTGAGCCTATGTAGGTGAATGAACGGAACTACAAGTGCATATTTACATCTAAGTTGCTGCAAAGTGAATGACATCACTCGCGTTATTGAACCCTTACCAAATACCAGAAATTATTTTGCTTGTTTTAGGATTTTTCCCCCTCTTAATAAGGAATTATGTGTAGTTAGCACTTTATGTGAAGGGTAGCACCAATGAAATGCATTTGTCTTAACACTTGAGTAAGATAAGCATTTCCCTTTCATCTTTCTGACTGCCATCTAACTGGCTTATAAGACATCTTTTCTGTTAATAATGACATTAAACAGTAATTACATGGCCGGGAGATTTAGCTCAGTTTTTTCTCCACCTGCTTTGCAAGTGCAAGGACCCAAATTCAACCCCCGGTACAAAAAAAAGTAATTATATCCATGAAAAACTTTATTTTAATGAACTAGGGATGAGAGAAGGATGGAGAAGATAAAAGAATTATTTCCTTGAATTTAAATCATTCCAGAATTTACCTACAAATTACCTTCTCATCCACTTGTTAAATTGTCTGCATGTACTGTGGTTTCTGTGATGTTTTATTTGCAAACAGTAAGGTAGAATTTGCAAATAGCCCATACCATTCATAAAGAGATTTCTGAGTACTGACTGTATTGTCCAGGGCTAGAAGTGACCATCTAAGGAGGAACCCTAAGGGGATTCTGGCTGGGGTGGAAAAGGGTCACTGGTTCCTGGAGAATGAATTTTTGCTAGGCAAGCACTCTATCACTGAGCTACATTCCTGGCCCCCTGTTTTAAATTTTTATTTTGACACAGAGTCTTGCTAAGTTGCCCAGCCTGACGTGACTTGCATTCCTCCCACTATAACTGACAGGGCAAATTGCGTCTTTAGAAGTTAGAATTTTCTTCTTTCAGGGACAACTTATTTTTCCAAAATTCCTTAGGCTGAGGTTATAACCACCACTGCCACCTCTCCTTAGCTAAGATAAATGAGCAAAATGTGCAGATTCTGGCCCCAAGAGGTTAGAGTTTGGTTTCTAGGAAAGGAACCAGGAGGAAGGAAGCCTAAAAGGGCCAGAAACAAGATTGGAATTGTCCAGGCTTTTATTGTATTCCCTCTTCCCTCTCTTCCTTGCTGTAAGAGACCATTGCACACCTGAACACTGAAATGCTTCTTTGAAGTCCCTCCATCTCCTGGGACCTGGCTTTGAGTAAAGCCTCCTTTATGTTTTGGGAGGAACAGCAAGCACAAGCCCCCCGGCCCCAGTGCTGAGACTCCAGGTGTGACCACTCTGCTGGCAGTTGCTAGCTCTTCTCGACTGACAAAGGCCAAAGCCAGACCAGATTGTTTTAACAAATGAGGAAATCAGTAGCTCAGTGAGATATTTTATAAAGTTTAAAACATGAGGCAAGTAGAAGGAAATGGAAAGAGGCTGCAAAGAAATTGTAGTAATGTCTTGAATTAGTTAACAATCAGAAGTTAGTAGAATCAGTGTAAGTCATTTACTGACTCATTCACTCCTGATAGGTAGCAACAAGGTAGATGCTATTAGGGTCATCCCGATTTTTTGTTAAAGGAATTTAACTCACAGAAAGTTGTGCGACTAGTTTACAGTTGTACAACTAATGGTGGATCTTAATCTGAATTCAGGCCAGCAGCTACAGTGTCTTTTTGCATATTAACATTTATATTATACTGCTTCTCTCTATGTGGAATGAAAGTAAAATTGGCTTATCAGTCAGTGGAACATGCTCAATAAAAGATTTATGAAAGTAACCATAAGACAAATGCTACAAAATATTACCTTCCATGAAATACATGGGTGTGTATGATATATTAAGTGGGGCATCACAGGTACGATATATTGCTGCCTAAATTTTAAAAATTTAAATGATTATGAGATGATGTTGAGTAAGCTTTACATTTTTTGAAAAACTGTCCATAATTGAAAACATTGTGCTAAGTGAAATAAGCCGGACTCATACTGTATGATTCTACATATGTGGAGATAACATACGAGGTATCTGGAAGAGTCAAATTCACAGGCACAGAAAGTAAAATAGTGGCTTCCAGGCATGGAGGAGGCGAGAACAGAGAACTACTGCTTGCTACTGATTGGATCTTGAATGTCTCCCAATTAATTGCTTAGTTATTTGCTTAGTTCCTCCAGCTTGGTGCTCTTTGGGAAGAGTGGAAACTGAGAGAGGTGGGGCCCAGGGGAGGACTTTGGGTCATGGGGGTTGCCCTGGAAGGGACTCACAGGCCTCCAGTCTCCTGCCTTTCTTTTTCCACCTCCTGACTGTGAGGTGAGCAGTGTTCTCTGCTGTGCACTTCTACCATGATGCCCCACACAGCCCACAGCAACAGTGCCCACCGACCACGGGCTGAAACCTCTAAAATTAGGGCCAAATGAACCTGGTTTTCTTTCTAGCTTGATTACCTTGAGAACTTGTAATATGACAGAAAACTAACACACTGTTTAATGAAGACAGAGTTTCTGTCTGAGGGAATGGAAGAGTTCTGGGTATGTATAGTGGTGATGTTTGCACAACATTGTGAATTGTATATCTGAAAATGATTAAAATAGTAAATTTTGTGTTATGTGTGCTTTAACATAATTTTTAAAAAGTACACAGAGGGGAGATTTTAACTACATATTTACTACTTTAAATATGTTTTCATTTGTCAAAATACATTTATAAAATTGTCTGAGAAGTTTAGAAATTTTCAGGGACACTTTGAGACTGAGCAGGCTGCCCCAGCAACAGATCTCTGGTGCCTCAAGTAAGCAGGGACCCTGGGGAAGCAGCAGGTTCCCAGGGGCCACCTGGTCAGGATGCTTCCTCGTGTGCACTGAAAACCTAATGCTCAGGTATCTATCAGGTGTCTGGGAACCTCTTGCCTTCTTCATCTCAAACTTGGCCATTCCATGTCCAAGAGAGAAAGAGAAGAGGGGGACTTCATGATACAAGTTGTCGGAAAACACTGGTTCCCAAAAGATCTGTGCTCAGCAATATAGAAACTTACAATAGGGAAGCTAGTCATGAAGACAGGGACAATAAGCCACGAAGGCATTTCTGGGGACCTTGAGAGGCAGGCCTGTTCATGTGCCTGCAGTTCCGTGCCAGTGTTCCCACAACTGTTCCTCTACTGCCTGCATCACTGACTCCATTGCCACAGGAACCTTGGGAAGAAGAGACTACAGGTCACTGTATCGTTTGTGGAACTTTTCCACAATGCAGTCTATTTACACCCTCTCTCAGGACCATCAAGATAGCTCAAATCCTTACCTTCCTGATCCTAAACTCTTATGTCCCAAACCTTCCCAATTTTAATTCACCCCCACATCAAAAATTTACTTAACTCAGAACTCAAACCCTCAGCAACCCCCTACTTTTCCCTGTTTTCCAAGACACTCCAAGTTTGGGGCTCTCCCTTACCAGAGTGTATAACACTCTTCGGCTTTATGCCAAGCAGTTTTGGTGGTCCTTGCGGAAGCCCCCAGGGACACTAGTGGCTGTGGACAGACTATCAGCAAAAGCTTCCCTTGGGTGTGTGGGAGGAGTATATGATCTCCAAATTCCTAACACTTGTAATGTAGGAGGGTATGGTACAGAAAAAGTAATTTTTCCCTTGCCTTTCACAAGGGTTATGGCTGACTCCCAGTAGCAAAGGACTCACTAATCACAGAAAAGCATAACAAATTTATTTAATCAAAGTTTTACACCACACAAGAACATTCAGAAATGAAGCCCTGCATGATCAGGCAAAATTGCATTTTTATGCTTAGGCTCCATGAAGAAGGAATTCTGTGGAATACAGTTGGACAAAAGGGTGGGATCTGATGGTGATAAACTGGGGCAGCCGCCCAGTGAGGTCTGTCAACTCAATCCCCTTGGCCCCAGCTATGGGGCAGGACACCTGCTCCAGGAGGGTCCTATGACCTTTCTTCTAGAGGCAGGCCAGAGGATTTCTTTATGCTCAGCTCTCACATGGAAAGGCTGGGGAAGATATAGCCCAGCCCCACATCAGAGTCTGTGAAGGCACTTTCTGTTTGGAGGGAGTCTCTGTGGCTGCTTGGAGAGCCCCCCACCCTTGCCTGTGTCTACCCCTAAACCCATCTGGTTTAGATAGAGCAAAGGAGACTTTCACTTGGAGCCCCCTAGGGGCATGAGAAACAAAGCACAGTAAATAAAGGCATCTCCTGTGCTAGGAAAGGGTCCCATTTCTTGGGCACAGTTCGGATGGACTGAAAGCCAGACTGGTTGGCCTGTGGTGGGCTATTTTCCTTCCCTGGAAGGAGCAACCAATGGCAAGAAGCTAAGTGAGGTGACTGACTCCATGGAAGTAGATGTCACCTTTACCTCAGGTATTCAGCTTGTCTGATTTTAAGATCTTGAGGATTCAGCGGCAACACAAGCTGGGAGCATCTCATTCAGGTATAGTTTGTGATACAGGCTCACAGGCAAGAGGGAAAGGGAGACCAGAGCAGCTCCATGCGTCACTTAATAGATAAAATGAAGACATTGAAATGACGGATATGAAATAAAAGGGTGCACTATAATCTGCTAAGCAAATCCCTTACCCATCCTGAGTTTCATTTTCTTTATAAAATGATAGAAATTGAACACTCCGAGATCTTTGCCCACTACAAAATTCTAATTAGTCCATCTATCTCCAGACACAAAATTCACCTCTAAGAAAAAAACCAGGAAGGTCCACCCTGGACAAAAAGAACCAAGAGGGTCTTTGTGTTAGTCAGCTTCTCACCATTGTGACAAATGATGAGACAAATCAAGCTCAAAAGGACTTGATTTTGGCTCATTGTTTCAGAGGTATCTGACCATGATCACTTGGCCCTATTGTTTTGGGCTTATGGCAGCGTAGTTGCATTACAGTGCAGACAGCGGGTAGAGCAAAGCTGCTCATCTCACAATGGCTGGGGAAGTGAAAGAGAGACACAGGTTCCAGCATTTGCCTCTAGGACATACGCCAATGACCTAACTTCCTCCCACTAGGCCCTGCTTCCTGTGACCAAGTTTTTAGCATATGGGCCTTTGGGTGACATTTGTCTAAAACATAACATTCTCCTTTCCCAGATGCTGGCAGGACTGGTGAATCCATGGGGAAAGATGGAGCCCCACGAATAGCTGGAGTAACTGGAAGCCCAGATTTCTGGTGTCAGGCAGGGATTTCTACATGATATAGCAATAATGATAGAGAAATGATAATAATTGTTATTGCTAACTTATATAAACACATATTTGCCAGGGATTGAACTAAATGCTTTATACCCACCTTGTTTGTCTCAGCATTTTACCAATGAGAAAACTGAAAGAAAAAAAATAAGAAAACTGAAAGTCATCCAGGATTTCAGAATTAGTACAGGCTGGAATGTGGTGCTCAACTAACCCATTTTTCTTGAATTTAGAAGTCATTTCTCTTTCCATATCCTGGCTTTGCTCCTTGGTAGCTATGTGACCTTGAGCAAGCCACAAAACTCTGTGCCTCAACTTCTTCATCAATGATGTCAAAAATACCTACTTTGAGGCTGGGTGTGGTGGTGTGGTGGTGCATACCTGTAACCCCAGCACTTGGAAGGCTGAGTCAGGAGGATCACCATGAGTTCAAGGCCAGCCTAGGCTACATAGCGAGTTTGAGGCCAGCCTGAACTTCATGGTAAGACTCTGTCTCAAAGAAAACAAGCAAACAAAAAAACCTACTTTTTGTTAAAAGTGTTGGAGGGAGTAAGTGAGGTATTCATCCCAATGGTACCATTATTGCAAATATATTATATCACTATAATCACAGCTCCTCTGTAAGCTAGGAAGATGTGACCAGAAGATATGACCTCTTTACATGGCATAAAGATGGCTGTAGAGCCAGGGTCCAACTGAAGAAGTTAATTTTGTGCAAATTTGAGCTATGTGTCTTACAAAGACAAAGAATGAAACCACAGGCAAAAGGAGAGAATTAAGAGGGTGTTTATTGAAAATAATAAGATAATTAGCTCTTGTGGATACCCAACAGAAGGGAATTCCAGAAGGGAAATTGCTGATGTGCTTTCTTTGTTTTGGCATTATATAAACAAGCAGAGCATGGGAGGCTTTCTCGAGTTTTTAAAAATCGGCTACTTATCTGGAAACTGGTTATTCTGCATTTCTAAATTTTTTCAGCTCAGAGATCAGGGAAGAATTGTCAACTCATTTAGCACACTCTGCCTAAGAACTTTCTTCCTGTGTCTTCATTTCTAAGCTTAACTAGCTGTGGTCTTGGCCATAAAGACTTAGGTAACAGTGGTATTGGAGGCTGGGAGAGCCCTTAGTAGACTGTGGAAACCAGAACTGGACTTCCCTGCCTCTGCCCTCGGTCTCCTCCTAAGCAGGATCCTTCGAGATGTGCCCAGCCCATTGGCCCCATCACAGCAGCCTTGTTTGAATAAATGATTCTCACACCCACAGAACTAAATGATGAGATGTCTCTGGAGACAAAGACTATGAAGAAGGAACAGCAGCTGACAGAGAAGAACAGGCTTTCTGCAAAATCTCCATGTGATTGAAGGTGCAATTAATTTTCCAAGGGAGCTTATGAAAATGCACATACCTTGGATAGATGGGGTAATGCAGATATTTTCTCTGAAAATCTTCCAACTGATTTCCTTCAGAATGTGGACCCTAAAAAATGGCGTAGGTTGGAGCTGGAGGCTGAGCATGACCAGAAACTACAGAATTAACAGAATGAGCAAGAAGCCAATCTTCTTTGTGAGTACTCTCAAGCATTCACATCTTTGCAGTTTTCAGAAGGGAGCATCCCTTAACTGAGGCAGGAGAGCATAGAGGAAATAACATAGAGAAAATCTATGTTATTTTAGACTGCATAGAGAAAATCAACAATATTATACAAAAGACAAAACACAGTGAAGAGCTTATGAAATGGAAGTGATGTCCCTGGAGAGCCAGCCTAAAAATCTAGAAGAGAGATTGCCATTATTCACATAGTCTTGAAAAGAATTCCAAACATCATCTTCATCTTGCTATTCTATAGCCAAAGGTCACTGGAAATGTGCAATTTGTTTACAGGTGGTATGTGAACTGGTATGTGTAAGACAATTCTCAAAAAAGGGGTCTTGCCATATTGTGGAGACTGACCTTGAATTCTTGGCTCAAGTGATCCTTCTGCCTCAGCTTCTTGAGAGGCTGGTACTACAGGAGTCACCAACATGCTAGAACAAGCCTGGTGCCCCAGGAACATGAGAACTGCTTTCTGCATGCCCAAAACACTGTCAACTGGAGTTAGCTTCCCAAGTGACTGGTTCTCGCTCAAGCCCTGGAAGTTCACCCCAACTGCGCTACACTGGTGGGAGTCTGACAAGTTATGCTACTGCCTTCTAAACAGAGGGATATGAGTTAATGACAAAACAGAATAAAATGGATAAAGTAGGTACAAGTGAATAAATGTAGAAAAATGCGGTGAAAAGAGAGAAGCCTATCTTCCATCTAAGAAGCATTGTGCTACCTGTAAGTTCCTGAGAATGAATTTCAGTCCTCTATCTAACATGACTACTTTCAGCCTTCAATAAGAAAATATGCTGGAAGAAACAGATAGGAAAAATAAGAAAATTTATTTTGTTGAGAAAAAATTAATTTGTGGGAATTATAGAACTGGATCTATGAAAATTTTAAAGCTTGGGAATTCAGGTTATGCTAATTCTGTCAGGATTTCTTGAGGTTGGATTCTGTTGCAGTTAAGACTTCTTTTCTTGATTGGGGTTTCTGATAGCTTTCTGACTGTCACTCTCCTCCCAAAACAAGAGGAGACCATCTTCTTTTAAGTCTGATGTGTCACTGCTGGAGAATGAGGATACTGTGAAAATTATATGGTTGAATTTTCAATTTATATCAAGTCCTGAGGCTTCAGAAGAAAAAATTAAGAAACTATATTGAGAAGAAGCAAAGAGTCCTATACTTAAGCAATAATGTGTTGCTTCCTTTTTCTATTCTGAATTATCTCATTCAGCTAAATGTATAATTTTGTAAATCCCTCTCTTAAGAGGGGTGGAAAAGGCAGTTCTCTCTGGCTTGAAAAGCTTGTATGTTTGTATAGTAATCCTCTCTACCAGACATCACCAGATCCCTTTCATCCTTTATCTTATGACAGTAAAAATAACTTGCATTAGCAAAGTACAAAGATAAAAACAGTTATGTCATTGATTTCACCACCCAGGGATAAGGATAACCATTACTAAAGCAGTTTGATTGATTTTTAAATAATATTTACTTTTTTTTTTTTGTACCAGGGATGGAACTCAGGACCTTGCATTTGCAAGGCAGGCGGTGGAACCACTGAGCTAAATCCCCAGCCCAAAATAATATTTACATTTACTTTAATATATATATATATATATATATACATATGCATGTATATTATACATATTTATACATATCCATATATATATGTGGATATCACATAAAGAAAAATAGAGATTTTATTTAATTTTATGGCTTAGCCTATGGTAATCATAAACAACTACTCACAGATTCTTAGCTATTCTCTTATTAATGACTTCCTTGACCACCTATTAACAACCATTAGGCTAGGTGATTAATAACCATTAGAATATTAAGATCACTAAGAGTAGTCCTATCAATGATAATTGGGTATAAATCTGAAGCATACCCATTTATTTGTCCTTTCATGTCTATCACTATATTTTTATATGTGAGATCTATGGCCATAAGTTCACATATACATTGAAGTCAATAATAACCTATACTAAACTGATTTTCAGAAAGCTTATATCCATTTACATGGCCATAACCCAACCAGTTAATGACGTATTTAGCCCATATTTTCCCATTATGCTCTTGCTATAAGTAGGCATGGAAGAAAACTTGGGCCCCCCCCCCACACACACACATTAAACATACAGGTACACTCTCACACACATTACTAGTCTGCAGTGCCCTATCTTGATGGTATATTTCACAGAACTAGAAAAAATAATGCAAAAATTCATTTGGAACCAGAAGAGACCTAGAGTAGCAAAAGCCATCTTAGGCAACAGAGACATGGCTGTGAGTATAACAATTCTTGATTTGAAAATATACTACAAAGGCACTGTGATAAAAAACAGCATAGTATTGGCAAAGAAACAGATCTGAGGACCAGTGGAATACATTGTAAGATACAGAAGCAATTCCAGATGTATTCAGCTACCTCATCTTTGACAAAGGAGCCAACCATCAACAGTGGAGGAAAGATAACCTCTTCAATAAATAATGTTGGAAAACCTGGATTGCAACCTGCCAAAGATTAAAACTAGACCCTTATCTTTCCCCATGCACTAAACTAAAATCCTAGTGGATTAAACATCTAAATATTAAAAAGGAGATACTAAATTTGCTGGAAGATAAATCTTGAAGACAGTGGCATAGAAAAAGACTTTATGAACAAATCCTCAGTAGCACGGGAACTAGCATGAAGAATCAACAACTGGGATCTCATCTTATTAAAAAGCTTCTACACTGCAAAAGAAAACATCAACAGAACTAAGAGACAACCTACAGTGTGGGAAAAATTTTTTACCAGCTGCTCCTCAGACAAAGGACTCTTATGTAGAATATATAAAAAACTCAAAATAATCAGCCTCCACCCAAATATAAAGACCCGATTAAAAAATGGGCATCTGAAATGAACAGACATTTCTCAGACAAAGAAGTAAAAGCAGCAAGTAAATATATGAAAAAATGTTCCACATCACTGGTCATTCGAGAGATGCAGATGAAAACAACATTGAGATTCCACCTCACTCCAGAAAGAATGGCTGCTATCAAGAAATCACACAATAACAAATGTTGGCAGGGCTATGGGGAGAAAGGAACCCTTTTCCATTGTTGGTGGGAGTGCAGACTGGTGCAACCACTATGGAAATCAATATGGAGATATCTCAAAGAACTAGGATTAGAGGTTGCATTTCACCCAGTCATCCCTCTGCTGGGTATCTTTCCAAAGGAATTAAATGCATCATACCACAGTGATATATGCACACCCATGTTTATAGCGGCACAGTTTGTAACAGCTAAAATTTGGAAACAACCCACTTGGCTATCAGTTGGAGACTGGATAAAGAAGATGTGGTTTTTCTATAAAATGGAATACTACTCAGCTATAAAGAATGAGAAATTAGAGTTATTCATAGGAAAATGGATGCATATTGAGGTTATATTCCTAAGTGAAATAAATAAGTCACACATGTGTAAATACTGAATAGTTTCTCTGGTGTGTAAAACTATAATCATAAATAAGATCCTAAGAGTATAATTGACAATGTGAAATAGGAAGAAAAGGGCTAAGCGTGTAAGGGAAGTGGAAAGGGTAGGGGAAAGCTAATAAGGGAAAAGAAAAAAAATGAGAAAATAAAATATGGAAATAAAGTTTTTGTAAATAGGGAAGGGTGGAGGGTGTGAAGGGAGGGCTGGGGTATGGGGAAAAAATGAGAACCAAGACCTGTCATGTAAAGGTACAAGATCCCAATAATGAATGTAACTGTACTGTATACCTAAAATGTACCAATAAACTCAATGAGAAAAGAAAAGATGTACATGTTATGAACATGTACCAACTCCCCACACTGAGTGTAATCATGTATTGCAAATGTGTGCTAATAAAATATTTAAAAATAAGCTTGATGAGCCGCATAACTTGAACTGGCTCTTAACTATGTGTGCTATTTTCTGTTTTATTTAGCCAATCCTCTTACACTCCATCATACTTTATTATACAAGGGGATGTCTTCAGTAACCTCAGTGGTCCTAGGAAGTCCTGCCCAACTCTCAAGAAGTCCTTCCCACAACTGGGATAATCTTCTGCGCAAATGCCAAACCTCCCAAGCTGGCTCTGCTCTGCAGGCCTGGTTTCTATTTGTCTGCCATGTACTGGGAGCATGGTGGTGAGCAAGGCAGTGCAGTGTCTTGCTGTCTAGTTCTTGCTGCCCTGCTCCTCCTTTGAGGGATACATTGGGGCAAAGGGACCCCAAGGGACATAGTGGGATAGCTAAATGGGATGGGAGAGGAGGAAGGGGGTGAGAACAGCAAAAGTTAAGCACCTAGCTTCACAAGAGAAGAGGTGTGTGTGTGTGTGTGTGTGTGTGTATAATACAGCTGTACACATGTGCAGCTCTTCAATCCTGAAAATACAGAGAGTGCATGTGGAAATTAAACCCATTATGCAAATTATATAAGTTGATAAATAGTGGATGTGCATGTACTAGTTAATTAACCAAAATTATGCACTAGGATACTTCTAAACAATGTACCATAATGAATAACTGAAGTTTTAGATGTTCAGCTATGGATTCAGACCCTGCATAGCCTCTGGGCTGTGGGGACTGTGCATCCCCAGGGCCTTGGCAATCTCCCACATCTCTCTTGGCTACTGTCTGCATCTGTGGGCTTCAGGGTCCTGCCATTACAGTTAACTGACTTGGGCACTGAGGAATGTCTTATCCCTTCTACATCTGTGTGCTATGTTCCACCTGGAAGAAAATGAGCCTCCTGTGTCCCCTCAAATGCAAGCATAATTGCTCCTTGCCAGGATTCAAGTTTCTTCCTTATTCCAGAGTCTGTCAGGACTGTAATCAGGAACCTGGCCAGGTTCCTCCCTCTGTGACAGCCCACTCTGACAATATGGCCCATGTCCAAGCTTTCAGCACTTCCCCAGACTTCTGTCCACCTAAGAATTGCCAGCAACTGCTAGAAGCAGTGAGATAGTTGCAGCTACCAAAAGCAGAGACAGCCCTGGGGAAGGGCCACATCCCAGGAAAGCTCTGATACTGCCTACCTGC